ACTCGGCAACGACGTTATATATATACACAAAGCTGTAACCTGATCTCAGTTCTTAGATCCGTCAGTTAGAAGTCGCCTTAAGCTAGAAGTTCCGCAAGTCAATGTAAGCCGCAAGCTGATCCCTGTGCACGACTAGGAAGCAATGGAAATTTCCCTAAGACATTAGAGCGCGGTTGAGAACGAACCGAAACAGACGGATATGGACTCCAAAGAGGAATTATGATCGCAAGACGAACTCTTACTCATTTATTATCTTCTGTTATTTATGTGATTGTTAATCGTCCGTGTTTATGTAAATTTAGTCTTTAATATATGTTTTTGTTAAAGAACAGTGTCTTTTATTTAAGACGACCACTCATGCCGTCCCCATATATACACTGACTGAGCAAAACTCATGGGATAGCAGGGCTCTGATTTGTGGATGGACAGCACGTGTGACCAACGCCACCTTGTGGCCTCCTTGACGGTCTCAGTTGTGTGTTAGACATTGCTTGAAGTGGCTGTGTGAGTGATCGGGTAAAATGCAACGTCGTCGTGAGTTGACGGCATTCGAACGCGGCATGATTGTAGGTGCCCGACGCATGGGACATTCCATTTCGGATGTGGTGAAGGAATTCGGCTTCCCAAGGTCAACCGTGTCGAGAGTGTACCGTGAATGGGTGAATGAGGGTGTCACAGTCCACAACAGACACCATACCTGGCGACCACAGGCCCTAAATGACCGAGACAGGCGAAACCTGAGACGAGTGGAAACTCAAGATTGGAGAGCAAATGTGCTACAAATCACGACAAAATTCAACACTGGCCGTGATAGAGACGTGTCCCAGTGGACAATCCGTCGGAACATACGTGTTCTCGGGTATGAGAGCCGTCGCCCCACACGTGTGCCACTGCTAACCCAGCGTCATCGGACAATTCGGCTTGCATTTGCCACCAATCACCACGGGTGGACACTGCAATAGTGGCGTAACGTGATGTGGTCTGACGAATCACGTTATCAACTGTTCCATGCAGATGGGAGGCACCGTGTGTGGCTCACACCGCATGAAGCGATGGATCGTGGCACAGTACAGGCCGGTGGCCTATCAGCCATGGTGTGGGGTGCATTTTCGTGGCATGGAATGGGCCCCCTGGTCGTTCTGGATGCCACATTGACTGGTCAGAGGTATCTTCAGCTGCTTGGAGACTATCCCCACCCTTTTGTCATGTTTCAGCACCCTGATGACATTGCTATGTTTCAAGATGACAACGCAGCCCCACATTGCGCCAATATCGTCCGTGCCTGGTTCGACGAGCATGCAGGTGAGATCCAACGACTGAATTGGCCACCTCGAAGTCCTGATATGAACCGTATTGAACATATCTGGGATGCCCCCGACGTCAGGCTCAGGGCATTGAATCCTTAACCCACGAACAGGCCACAATTGGCTGCCGCTCGTCAGGATGTGTGGTGCCAATTACCTCCAGACGTGTTCCAGAGCCTTGCAGACTCACTTCCACGCCGTATCGTTGCACTCCGCAGGGTCAGAGGGGGCCCGACCAGATATTAGGTGG